TCACTGAAACCTCTGTCTCCTGGGTTCAAGCAATTCTCCTGCCTCAGTCTCCTAAGTAGCTGGGACTACAGGTGTGTGCCACCATGCCCAGCTAATTTTTGTATTTTTAGTAGAGACGGGGTTTCACCATGTTGGCCAGGATGGTCTCGATCTCTTGACCTCGTGATCCGCCCACCTCGGCCTCGCAAAGTGCTAGGATTACAGGCGTGAGCCACCGTGCCCGGCCTCAGAGGCGTTTCTTGTTGGTTTTCCATCCATATTTATCAAGGAAGGTAGGCAGACACAGAAGCTGTGACAGGTTGGAGTGCTTCTGTAATCCTCTCTCTACCTTTTTCTTACCTTCCCACCAATAATTGGATTCAATATCCAAGATACCTGAGCTGCCACATAGTTTGAAGGAGCCACATAGTTCAAGAGCCCCAGATTTTGCTAAAGTTTTGTCCTCATGAAAAAAAGTACAGGCTGGGTGCAGTGGCTCACACCTATAATCCCAGTAGTTTGGGAGGCCGAGGTGGGTAGATCACCTGAGGCCAGAAGTTCTAGACCAGCCTGACCAATGTGGTGAAACCCTGTCTTTACAAAAAATACAAAAATTAGCTGGGTGTGGTGGTGCGTGCCTGTAGCTACTCAGAAGGCCGAGGCGGGAGAATCACTTGAACCTGGGAGGCGGAGGCTGCAGTGAGCTGAGATCATGCCACTCTACTGCAGCCTGGGTGACAGAGTGAGACTCCATTTCAAAAAAAAAAAAAAAGTACAGAAAAGGAAACTATTCTTTTGAAGGAAGAAAAGGAAAGATCAGTGGGTAGGCGCTTAGGGTTGGGGGTCTGTATCACTTTCCTGTTGCTGAAGTAAATAAGAGTATTCTGGATGCATGGTTACTTGCTAGGAGTGTGAACCTAGGTATGTTAGATGCATAACAAGGACCAAACCATGGGCTAGGAGAAGGGAGTAGGAAAGGATGTTAACTGTAAAGAACTTGGTGGTGGGGCAAGGGAATCCTTGGGTAGTCTCAGAGACTCTATTAAAAACAGAAAGATTGTGACTCACTTTGCTTTGTTTATGAATAGTTAACTACTTTGAATGTTTGGTTGTGTTTCAAGAGCTCAAGGGACAGAAAGACAGCTTTAGACTTCCCTTATAAGGTGATTATTTCTTCTGTTAAGAAGCCTTTTACTTAGATATGTATCAGAGAATAAGGAAGCCCATGATCATACTCGTTAAAATCAAAGAGCTTGCAACCTTCTGGGAAAGGTAGACAACAGCATCATATTCTTAGATCCTGTTTAGTCAAGAAAGCTTGACTAAACTTTCTTGAAGTAAATGAAAGTAAGAGTATTCTGGATGAGTGGTTACAAAGTGAGACAGACCCCCAACCCTAATGGATGTGACAGCTTGCAAAACACCTCAAATTATTCATTATATCATAAAAATGAATTATCAGGACAGGTAGAAACTTGGTTTACTTATCATTATTTCTAACAAGTACCAAAACCCCCTGATTTGTGTGTGTGTGTGTGTGTGTGTGTGTGTTTTCTTTTTCCCCGGCATACCAAGAGGTAATTGGCACACAAAATTTTTCTATTGCATGAAGCTGTTCCAAAAAGTCCAACCTGACAAAATATGTTATGATTGGCAACTTCTGGCCTAGTGAGATAGCTGTGAGTCAGAGATGTGTTCCTCAGAATTTATGGAGTGATTATCTAGGTTTCTGCTGACATCTTGAATAATTGGTGTTATGATAAGTGTATTTACAATATAGTTTATTTTTTCTGGCCAAGAGCTTACATGATAATTACTTTTTCATAACAAATACCATATTAGAGAATAATACACAATAGAGACTTAATTTCTTGTAGGACATTGAGTTATGTCTCAGATTTCTGTCTAAACAGATTGCAGAGATAAAGAAAAAAGGAGGAGAAAATACATAGAATGAAATGTAAACATTTCCTTCAACCCCCAGCAAATGGCATATTAAAAGGTGCTTGTGAAATATAATTATTCCTAGCTTGACAATTTTCTTGGCAGGGAGAAAATAATAAAACAATTTCACTTTAACTTATACTGAGCCTGAAGCTACATCTGAGAAAATCTTCCAGATTATTTTCCTGGTTTGAGTAGAACCCAGAAGGAATTCCCCATTTAAGGGTTTCTTCCTTGAAAGTGTGTCGTTATTGGCAGTGGTTAGAAAGGGATTTGGGGGTGGCAGGTGGTGCTAGACCCTGCTTGTACAGGAAGATGAATGTTTGGGCAAACAGATCTGATGATCTCAACTATAGACTATCTATCACATTAGTGGATTGTTTTCAACTCCCGAATCTCTTTGAATGCCTCTCTGTCTCCTGCTAGATTCTCTTCTATCTTCCTGCCCCTTTCTCCTTGGTTGGGTCTCTACCTTTCCCAAATGTCTACCTTTAAAGTGACTGCAGTGTCAGAATAGATGCACTGCTGAAAAGGAATGTTCTGAGGGAGTTGATTTCTTTTCCTCTGAGGCTGAGAAAAAAAGTACCATGTATAGGAGGAAGAGAATGAAAGAAAGGGGTATAGATGCAGGGGATGCATTGCTAGACATAGTATTATTCCATATTTTGCATCTTGGCTAATACCCTGGTGTTTACTGGATGTCTTGAAAGTTCTTAGATGGAAAAAAGTAGTAACAGCTATCCAGAGCTTCCTTCTTCCAGTTCATTCTGAGAACTCACATCCTTTCTCTATGCTACAGGAAGCCCAAATGTAAGATCCTCCACAGTGACTTCGGTGCAGCTGCCCCTCCTATGGCTTCCTTCTTAAACATACTCCTAGGTGTGCCATTCGGTCTCAGCCAAGATCATCTGACACTGTAAAAGATAATTTCTTTATGGCAGCAATGGCAAATAAGAGCAGTTAGCTGTTTTTAAGCACCAATGCCTGGCACTGTGCCAACTCTTGGTATACCTCATCACATTTTAAACCCCACCATGACAAATGCAATCGGTATTATTTTTGGTCTTTTATTTTTTTTTCTAATTGACCTCCAGACCCATTGTTACATTTGATATTCTTGGCTAGGAGGACTTTTTTTTTTTTTTTTTTTTTTGGAGACAGAGTCTTGCTCTGTCACCAGGTGCCAAGCTGGAGTGCAGTGGTGCTATCTCAGCTCACTGCAACCTCTGCCTCCAGGGTTCAAGCAAGTCTCCCGCCTCAGCCTCCCGGGTAGCTGGTACTACAGGTGCACGCCACCACGCCCAGCTAATTTTTTTGTATTTTTAATACAGACGGAGTTACACCATGTTGGCCAGTATGGTCTCGATCTCTTGACCTTGTGATCCGCCCGTCTTGGCCTCCCAAAGTGCTGGGATTACAGGCTTGAGCCACCATGCCTGGCCTAGGAGGACTTTTTTGAATGGAACAATCGTGATATTTCTTCCAATTTTCCAACAGTTTTACAGCATGCTCAGTTCCCTTTCTCCCTTTCTTTTTTCCATCTTTTTTTTTCCTCTCTTTCCTTTTTTCCTTTCCTTTCTCCCATTTTTCATTCCATTCTACTTACATAGAGCTCAGTATATACCAGAAGTTGCAGAGAACAAGACAGCTAAGGTCTCTGTCCTCCTGGAGCTCACATTCTGGTGGGCAAAGACAGACAATGAATAGGTAAACACATGTACAAACAAGATACATACAGTTTGGGATAACTACCAAAGGAAAATATAAAGGGTGATGAGAGAAGAAAACAGAGGAGGGAAGTTGCCTTAGATGATCAGAGAAGGTTACATTCTAATGGTGATAACGGATTTGAAAATGAAAGGAGAGAATCAGTCTGGTATTTGAAGAGCTGGCAGAAGAATGGACAAGGTAGAGGAATCACACAGCATGCACAAGTACCCAGAGGCAGGACAGGGTGCAATGTCAATCAGCACTGGAGGTCAGTGTGGCTGGAGCCAGTGAACAAGGGCAAAAAGGCAGAACAAAGTCAAGTGAAAGGGGTAGGCAAGGGCAGATGCCACAGTGCCTGATAGACCGAGGTTAAGGTGTTGAGTTTTGTTCTCAATGTGATGGCCGTTATAGAGGGACGTAAAAGAAGGAAGTGGCATGATTTGATTTTTAGGAGATTACTATGGCCGCTGTATGGGGAATGGATTGTAAAGGTCATATGGAAGAGGGGAGACCAGTGAAAGTGCATTTCTGTGCTGTCCTTTCCTGAAAACAGAACCAATGATTAGATGACCGTCAGCAGGCCACGCAGTTGCTGGTTCTCTGATTAGGTTTCTATTCCTCCTGTGTCCTCACCAGGTTTGACTATGAGGGGTTGGATCCCAAGGCGACATATTATATCATGAGGGACCTGGAGGCCCTGGTCACAGACAAATCCTTCATTGGCCAGCAGTTTGCTGTGGGGAGCCATGTCTACAGTGTGGCGAAGACGGATAGCTTTGAGTACGTGGACCCTGTGGATGGCACTGTGACCAAGAAACAGGTACTTGCTAGAAAATCACTAAGATGGGTTATCAGGCAGACCTGGTGGCAAAAATGTCCTAGAACTTGAGAGGTCCCTGGGGATGATCTATTCTGATCTATGTTGAGCCCCTCATTTTATAGATGAGAATTCTGCAGCCAGGAAAGAGAAAAGCCCTTGATGAAGGATACCTAACGAGTTAGTGGCATGGCATAGATTAGAACACGGGCCTTCTCTGGCCAGGCACCAGAGTGGTTCATACCTGTTATCCCAGCATTTTGGGAGGCCAAGATGGAAGGATCACTTTTGTCACTTTTGAGCTCAGGAGTTCAAGACCAGCCTAGTCAACAAAGCGAGATCCCATCTCTACCAAAAAAAAAAAAAAAAAAAAAAAAAAAAAAAGCTGGGCATGGTGGCACGCACTTGTATTCTCAGCTACTTGGGAGGCTGAGGTGGGAGGATCACTTGAGCCCAGGAGGTCGAGTCTGGAGGTCGAGTCTGCAGTGGGCCATGATCATCACCACTGCACTTCAGCATGGGAGACAGAGTGAGACCCTCTCTCCCTCTCTCTCTCTCTCTCACACACACACACACCAAAAAACAAAAGAACATGGGTGATCTATGTCCAGTATTCTTTCTACTTGGTAATGGGTGGACCAATACGTCAAATAAATACAGACCCAACATTTCCTTCTGAAATGTTTGTAGCCTGTAGGTGCTCTTATGTGGTAGCCATTATTGGTGACAGATTCAGAAAAGTTACCAAGAACTAAAGATCCCTGTCCTTGGGGTCCCTAGGTGCAGAGGTATTTCACCTTCTATTACTTTATGTCACCAAAAAAAGTCACAGGAACTTAGCTGGGTGGGTTTGGTGCCATGGTAGAAAGAAACGGTTGGAAAATTTGGCCAGAAAACCCAAAAGGAAGACATGTGGTTCGGAATGAGCATCATAGATAAGTAGGTAAATCAACTGCAACCTCTACTAGGTCTTTTCTTTATGAATTGTGTAAGAAAATTTGATAGCTCCTATGATTATTTGATATTCCTGCCAAACATATATGAGGATTCCAGTTTCTCCACACCTTTGCTAATCCTTGTTATGTCTTTGTAATTTTAAAATACTGTTATTTTAAAACAACCTACTATATTATGGATTATCTTTAAATTGACATAGAGGGAGATTTGATTTCTACAAGGAGACACAGAAGTATATCTCTCTGTTAGCAAAGCCCAGAAAGCCATAATACTGCCAAGCATCCATTTCCTACAGGAGGCAGGTTGTTGTGGTCCTCTTCAGTATTCTCTTGTGTTGGTAAGATAGATACAGGGTTAAAGGCTGGCTTCGTCACTGCCTAGATTTGTGACTTTGGGCATATTATTTAACTTATTTGAACCTCAACTTGAGGGGAGGAGCTAATGATAGTTATCACACACGCATCATTGGGAAGGTTTGAAGAGAAAGTCATATGAAGTCCCAGGCACAGTGGCCAGTACCTAATCGATGCTCAAGAAATATCAGTTCCCTCCCTCTGACCAGAATCCTTAATTTGGTTGAATATCAGTTCAAGAAAAGGATATAATTATATAACTATTCTCTCTCTCTCTTTCTCTCTCCTTCTCTCTCTCTCTCTCTCACACACACACACACACACGCGCGTGCGCACACACACACACACACATATACACCACAGGTATATATTTTTAAAAGTAATCATCAGTGTGTCTTAGGGTTAGAAAACACTCACCCAACTCTTCTGTTTATTCTGTTTTTAAAGTACTTTGCAGTAAAATTTAAGGTTCAGATTGATGATCCTGAGGTAGTGGGAGATTTCCAGTTATCTCTTGTTTGGGTTAAATTCTACTTAATTTTTTAAAAAAAGGTAGTTAACAGAAATAATTTTCAACCATGAATGGTTAAATAGAATTTGTGCTGTTCCTGTTTTATCCAGAAATTTTCTTCAGGCACAACTTTCTGCTCTAGAGCACCCAAAGGCCCCTTGGTGCCACTGCAAATCGTGTGAGCAATGTTTGGGTGTGCAGGCTTGAAGTCAGAAAGTTTTGAGCTTGAGTCTTAACTCCGTCACCTCCTTGCTGGGTTATCTTAGGCAAGCTATACATCCTCCTTGTGCCTGCCTTTTTAAAATCTGTGAAATAGGAATCATAATTATGGCTATCTCATATAAGCCTGTGGGAGAATTAAGTGACATGATACTTGTAAAATCCTGGCACATAACAAATGATAGCAGTTAGTTAAATAAAATTATTTATGTTAAAAAAAAAAGCATCCTCGGGAAAGATTGTAGCATTTAATGAACGACATATGATAAGAAAAGCAAGGAAAAAAACCACACAAGTTTGCAGTGTCACATAAAGATTTGAGAAGGCCCCTTCAGTTTCCAAGTCATCTGGGAATTGATTTAAACTCACATTTCTCTGCATCCCCAATCCTCCAACATAAATACTGTGCTTCAGAAAGCAAAAGGCTTATTAAGGCAACTTGGTCTCCTTTATGTCCTTGACTTGAGGTCAGAGTCAGGAAATAAAACATGGAAAAAGTGCTGTTTCACATATATTTCTAGAGATAAAGTAGAAATGCTTCTCCAACCAAAACTAAATTAAAATCCTGTTCTGGTGATAACCACCCCACTCCTGCCAACCCTGCTGCTGTGGAAATGTTCAGTGAAGTCCATCCTGCCTGACTCTCTGTGGGACTATTCAAGGAGCAAGAAGGAAACCCCTGATATGAATTTTCAGGGACCTCCCTGGCCTCAATGTGGTGCGTTTAGTTTCATGGGATTTACCGTGGCTACCTCCAAGTGTCTGATGTACGTGTGATCTTGGATGCCAAGAGAAAAGTTGATGTGCGCCTTCCATTAAGCAGTGCCCAAGAGAGACTCTGATTGATTTAGAAAGCATTTTCATGAGGCATGGTTCAACAACTGCAGTTCTTCCTTCTATCTTCCCATGAGGATATGCCACCATTTTCAAGTGAAATCTAGTGACTTGAATGACTAACTGATGCTATTCAAGTATGACTGGAAAAAATAAGCCAATAGCTACAATGAGAATAGGGGAGCACTTTAATCATATTGCTAAGTAGTTAAAGAAGTTCCCAGTTTATGCCTTATCAAGAGAGGACAGACAGGAGTTGTGTGATTCATGTGGGTTTCAGGGTGAGCCACTCTTTCTTCATTGTGCAAACATTGAGGGGTGACTTCATCATGCAAACATCGAGGGTTTCCATCCATCGTGCTAGGTGAGCTCTTTCTTCCTTTCACCATTGATATCCCAGAGAACATTATCAAGGTTGTCTCTTACATGATCTCTTCTCCATCTCTAACTTGTGGCCTAAGTCCTGGAATCTCCATTCAGTGCCACCGTTGTGAGGTTCCCCCAGCTCCGATAGAAGGGATACTTTAATCCTGGTATTGTGAGTGAAGGACAGTGTGACAGAAATGGCTCCACACTGAGAGACTGCATATTGCCACTACGGTGGGTATCAATCCAGAACCATGAACTATATTTTGAAAATTGGGTTTGAAATGAGAAACCTTGACACTTCAGGAGCAAAATTTAAGCAAATTGGTCTCTATGACTCATCCAAATCCCATGTTTCTTTTCTTCTGTTTTTTTTTTTTTTTTTTTTTTTTTTTTGGGAAAGAATATGACTTTTTCACCCCGGGCTGGAGTGTAGTGGCGTGATCTTGGCTCACTGCAACCTCTGCCTCCTGGGTTCAAGCGATTCTTGTGCCTCAGCTTTCTGAGTAGCTGGGACTACAGGCATGCACCGCCATACCCAGCTAATTTTTCTGTATCTTTAGTAGAGATGAGATTTCACCATGTTGGCCAGGCTGATCTCAAACTCCTGACCTCAAGTGATCTGCCCACCTTGGCCTCCCAAACCAACTCCTATATTTCTATCTAACGAGCTCAACAATTATGAAATTTTTCCAGTGCTAAAGTCATTTGCAAGTAACAGTTCAGCTGAAGGTTAAAAAGCTGATGTAAATAAATGCATACCAGTTAGCTGATGTGGAAAATCAAATCCAATTTGATTGTGGCAGGCTAACTCTGAGCTGATTAATACCTCTTCAAGTTGTGCAGGCTGTGTGGAAACATTTTGATATTGTCCTTAACCTGGAAAAAAAAAAACATTTGAATTTAGTTCAGAGAAAAAGCATACTTTGAAGACTGATATTGAAGTCAGTTTTCTTTTAGAGTTGTTATTTTAATTTGCAAGACGGTATCTGCACTTTATAATTTCAGTATTTAGAAATAGTAAATTGGCAATCTTGAAATCACATTTTATTTCCAGCATGTGGTGTTTTAATATGTACCTTGATGCTACCCACCCCAGGTCAGCAGATATGAAGAAGCTCACCAAGGTGCTGTCCCCAGCACTGAATAAAAGCAACTCAATTGTAGCAACTGAAGAATCTGAAGCTTTAAGACTGAGTTCTTCTCTCTTCAGAGTTAGCTGGCCAACTTTCAACTTCAACGTTGGGGTTTTTTGTTTGTTTGTTTGTGTGTTTTTTGGGACAGAGTCTCGCTCTGTCGCCCAGGCTGGAGTAAAGTGGCATGATTTTGGCTCACGGCAACACTGCAGCCTCTGCCTCCCAGGTTCATGCAATTCTTCTGCCTCAGCCTGCTGAGTAGCTAGGATTACATGTACAGCTAATTTTTATATTTTTAGGAGAGACAGGGTTTCACCATGTTAGTCAGGCTGGTCTCCAACTCCTGGCCTCAGGTGCTTCACCTTCCTCAGCCTCCCAAAGTGCTGGAATACAGGCATGAGCCACTGTGCCCAGCCTCAACTTCAACTTTGATCACATTCTAATCAATGAACTAATCGAGAGACTGTAATAGTAGCAATTTATCATTGTCCCTTTTGCTAGAGTGTGGTTTGCACATCTGGAAGTAGAGCCCCAGAAATCATTTCAGTCACACTGATTAACCTACTTATAGAATGTAGTTAAAACTGAAAGTTAGCCTACCCACAAATAGCCCTTCTACATTGAGTC